AAGTGAGTTAAATTTAAATAAATTTTTAAAACACTAAAGATATCCCAAATCTTTCCGTTAAAAAAGAAGCACTGAAAATCAAGGAGAATGTACAGCAAATCTATTTCCTCACGTAAGAAACGAATTTCAAACGCAAATTTCCTGAAGTCCTGTGTGAACAAACAATGGGAGCACTGGAGTCCGCCCGGCCCCCGCCCCGGCCCGGCCCCCGCCCCGGCCCCCGCCCCGCGTTGGACACACGGCTGAAACTCGCGCTGCAGAGGCTGTCACGCACGTTGCTCCTGCTGGCGTCAGATGGCTGCCAGCGCCTCCCGCACTCTGTCCTCACGGTGGCCGCGGCTCACAGCCGTTGCGGGAATCTTGTGAAATCTGCTCAATGAGAAGCCCCGACCCCGACCCCGGCACGTGCAGAAACATCTGAAAACTCAGTAGAGTTCTCTTCAGAATTAAACTCCATGGAGAAGCCAGCTGGTGCTCGGGGAGTGAGTGACCGGTCACGTGGAAGGAGACTTTTGGCAATACAGCGTGCTGGCGCTTGGACTGATTCTTTTTTTTTTTTTTTCAGGCAGAGTTAGACAGTGAGAGAGAGAGACAGAGAGAAAGGTCTTCCTTTGCCGTTGGTTCACCCCCCAAATGGCCAGCACTGCGCCAATCCGAAGGCAGGAGCCAGGTGCTTCTCCTGGTCTCCCATGGGGTGCAGGGCCCAAGCACTTGGGCATCCTCCACTGCACTCCCTGGCCACAGCAGAGAGCTGGCCTGGAAGAGGGGCAACTGGGACAGAATCTGGCGCCCCGACTGGGACTAGAACCCGGTGTGCCGGCACCACAGGCAGAGGATTAGCCTAGTGAGCCGCGGCACCGGCCTTGACTAATTCTTTTGCATGCATTTTGTTTATTCCTTGTGAATCACCGAGGTTTATGGAGGTGAAACTATATGACGCAGGAATTGTCTGTGCTGTCTCAGGTTCTGTTTCTTTGTCTTCCTGTGGTGAGGAAGGCAACAGAGAGGATGTGAAATCCCACGCTGCAGCGTGTGACTGCTTTATGAATTGAATTCTGAGAACAGAGCCGCTGCACCTGGCATTGAAAAAGTGGCAGAAAGATGCGAGCGTAGGAATGCCGTCCGTGAGCACTCACGTCGGCACTTTGGGTTTGCAGCCCTCGTCTGGGTTTGCTGGCTCGTCTTCAAGGCTCACTTTGCTCCCCCTTAAATACAGTAGGTGAGTTACACCTGCAGGCGTGGTGGTTTGCTTTTTCCTGTGAGGACTTGATTACGTTGTCCTTCACTCTTCCAATAGGCGTAGATGATTTTACTCTTGCAACTAGAAGCCCATCAGCTGGTGAAATGCCAGCAGTTTCCCTGCTGTCCTGAGAGGCGCCGCTAAAGCGTGCCGGGCAGCAGAGTGGGTGGTGACCGGCCTGGTGGGAAGGCCGGGCACCCCAGATGCCACGAGCTGGCTCTCTGCCTTGAGTCACCGACCTCTGCTTTCGTGTGCAGTGAGTCGAAGAGGTCCACGTTCGATCTTCATCTGTTCACAGGCATTCGAGGACTTTAGCTGTTGCAAACAAGCATCCGCAAGACCAAAGAGTATAGAGGTATGAAGAACATGCGCTTACATAGTTCCAACACAAAAATTGTCATTTCGTGGCGTGAGCTTCGTTGCATCGCTTTGCAGTGAAATTGGGCATTTCTAAGCGTCTGTCTCCGTCTCCACGGTGCTACTCCCCGTCGGCTCATCCCCGCATGGACGGCTGCCTGTGGCATTGAGGACTTGCATTTGACTTAAGATCTGTGGCTCCAGTGGGGTCTCTGGAGTGCTGCCTGACTCACCTTCCAGATCCTTTTGGGCTGAGTCGGTCTCCACTGCCTGCTGGCAGATTTATTCTGAGCCTCTAGGCTGGAGTGCGTTTTCTCAGGAAAAGGCAGCCACAGCCTTGCCTTCATGAAGCTTCGTCATTTAGTTGTGTGCGGGTCTTGAGGTGCGTATTCATGGCAGTAGGAGTGCGTAGCCTGGGCAGACTGACGGGAGACTAGATCTCTGGGCTCTGTGTCCCGACTACATTTTCTTTCTTTGGGAAATACTTTTGAGAAAGCAAACGACACGCAGATCGGACAAGAATTATCATTACTTTGAAAAAACAGGACCTATCTTTTTGCTGACTCGGGGAAGGAACGGGCTGTAGGAGCCAGACCAGTTCCTGGGTCTGATAGGACACTGTTCCCAGCAGGAGGGACGTGGCAAGAATTGTGCCAGACCTTGCTCCAGCCTTCCTGGTGGCGGAACACGGGGCCTCGGGCTCTGGCCCTGGAGGCACAGGCGGAACTGACTATGAACTGAGGCCAGGGCCGAACCTCTTCCATCAGAAGCACTTGTGGTCTTTAAGTGACTCCGCCATTTTCCCAATTCAAGACACTTTTCCTGGATATTTCCCGCCACGTGCTCGTTCCTGGCAGCTGGCCGAGCCTTCACACTTCATTGGCCTGCCCAGCTGTGTCATGAACTTGAACTTGTGACGAGCGCTTTGACACAGCTCCCTGTGCAGAATGGAGGATCCGTCTTGGCCAGCATCCACGTGGGCTCCTCCTGTTCCGTGCTTGGTGCGCTGTGTTGCATTGCAGCCGACCTGCGTCTTGTGAGCTGTCGCCTTGACGGACACAAGAGAGTAATGGCTATGGTGTGGTGAACGAGCAATAGCCAAGAGCCAGCTCTGCTCTCAGAACGCCCTCCCAGCTCAGCCAGTCTTCCTGAGATGAGATAACCCAAACAGATGGCACTGGCAGCTGGGGGAGCCAGGTGTGGATTTGGACAGGTTTCAGCTGGGATCCTCCACGCTGTGCCGGTGCACACAATGGACAAAGGGGCTGGCGAGGAAATCGGAGGCCCCGAGAGCCAGCCATTCCTGTGGGCTGCTGGGCCAGCACACCCTGACGCACCCTTCCCAGGCACCTGTCTCAAAGCCCGACTTCTTCCTGCCGTGAGATGTCACAGCAGCTGCACCAGCAGACACAGAACACCAAGGAGCGACATGAGCTGGTAAACAGACCCTGTCCCGGCCCCGCCCTGTTCAGTTCCAATCAGAGATGCAAATGTGCACCAGTGTTCCCCGGATACCACCTTAGGGTACCGCTGGGAGCTTGCTGCCCTAGGCAAAGTGGGGGAGCAGAGCCACAGACCCAGGCCGCCCCCTCGCAGCTCGCAGACCCTTCAACCATAGAGTCACTAACACATTTTGCTGCCCTAGGCAGCCACCTGCTCTTCCGGCCTGCTAAATCCATCCCTGGAACAACTCAATTCGTCGCTGCCGGATGGAGCCGTATCGCAAGCAGACAATCTGAGGCCGGAGCAGAGGAACAGCTCCGATGCGTGCTCATGTCAGATGGAACGCTGACCCCTCACCCCACCACCCTGCGTCGTGTTCCTCTTTGCAACCCGGGGACATGTTGCTCTCGGCATTGCTGGCAGGTTTGCCGGGATTACAGATTCTCCAAAACTGTCTAGGAAGATGGCGAGATAGGTGCTTGAATGGCGTTCTTATCAGAAACACATTTTATCTCTTTTCATCTCTCATCTGACTTGTCTTCCAATTTTCTCGTTACTGTGTATATCCAATGTCCATTCGGACATCAGCTAGTCAGTCACTATTTTTTAAGCAAAAAATTCTTTTTTGAAGTAAGAAAAAAAATTAAAAAGTCAAGAAAATTGCTGTGGGCTGCGCTCTGTGTGATGCCTCTGCTGCTATGAAACCTACCCCTAAGCTCTATGGGGTCACGTGGTGCTGCAAATGGAGCCTTTATAGCTAATATGCATACATGTTATGCCATATGCATACGTGTTACGCCATATCCTTGCACATTACAAAGTGATAACGAAAGCAGTGCTCCATTAAGTAAGATGGTCCTGCAGGGCTGCCTTGACACACCTGGCCAGGTACTGAGCCAAGGACCTCAAGCTCAGGGCTCAGTTCAGGGTCCCGAGGACCCTCCAGCCTCCCAGCTGGAACAGAGAGGAGCCTGGAGTGTCGGCTCCGCAAGCCCCCTCTACCCGGCTTGGACGTGGCTGTGTGCACGGGGCGCCCCGCGCTCAAGCCTGGCTTCCACCCACAAATGCACACGTGGCTCCCGGGGAAGCTGCACGGCAAGTGCCACTCAAGACTGGCTTCCTCGGACTTCCCGGGGCCCTGGTATGAGACGGGAACAGGACACCGCAGGACCGGAGGACAAGGTCCCCTCGGCTTGTCAGGCCTCTCGGGCTCAGAGGACTGCCAGGGGCCCTGAATCGCAGGTCCACACCAGAGCCCCGCCTTCTCCGCCTGAGAGCGACTCCCGGCAGCCAGTGATCTTGGGTCGGGGTCACAGCCCCTGAAGGGGGTCGGCACTCGCTCATCTGCCCCTTACAGGCCTGCAAGGTGGGATGGCGCTGAGCAAGCCAAGGGCCCTTGGGGGCGGGTGAGTCGCATGTCCCTGCTCACACCCAGGCGCCCCGTGAGGACCCTGCCTGCTTCTACTCTCACCGCACGGGCTTAGCAAGCACCAAGAAAAGGCGGAAGGATGCGTGGGAACCCTGCGCTGATCCTGGTGCCGGCCTGTGCATGGGAGAGGAAGGCGTGGAGTGTCAGGAGCCAGAGTGGAGGGCGATGGAGACGCGCAGGGAGGGACCGCCTCTGGACACAGGCCTGCCCGCTGAGCCAGTGGGAGGAGGTGCCCACCCTGCATCGCCAGGGACCCTCTGCAGCAGCTCGCTGTCCTCGGGCGGCTGCTGCCTCAGCAGGGCCCAGCGCCCTGAACCTCCTCTCTGTTTCTGGTCCCCAGCGCGGCTGGCCCGAGCTTTTCCTGAAAGCTGAGGCCGTACACCTGCTTGGAAAGCGCTGGCGGCTGCTGACGTGGTTCTTAAGGTCTCTGTAATGAGCTGATGTATCGGGGGCTCTCTGACTCTGCCGGGAAACCTGACACCCCCAAGCTGCGGGCCTCTCGGCAAAGCCCGATGCTTTGTATTCTGATACCTCAGTTTCGAGTCATGTTCCAAACCCCGAGAGTCGGGGCTGCGAGGACAACATTCCCAGTCCGCAGGCCTCCTGCCTCGCGGCGGTTTGGTTAGCGTTGCTATGGCAACCTCCAGTCTGTTTTATGATCCGCCTATGATGACTGAGTCCGTGACAATGGGGAAGTCTCAGGTTCCAAGGGCAGCCGCGCCGCACACATCCTGTGTGATGAACAGCCGATTTCCCAGCAGAGAGAGGGGTTGGGCCTCGCAGGAAGCTGGGGTGGGGACGCGGGTCATCACAGACAGCGCGGGTCTGCAAATATTGATCGTCAACATCATCAGACACCGCGGTCTGACGTGGGCTTTTGTCTTCCCGAGGGGTTGCATCAGCGCGTGGTCCTCAGAACTCCTCCACAAACGGCTTATGGCGGAAGGAAGACACGCAGTCGGTGAAGTTCTTTTGTGGGTAGATGGAAACACAGAGTGCCTGTGAAACACAGCCTTCTCACCGCACGGGCCTGTGTGCAGGGCAGGCGGGAGGCAGCCCGAGCAGCACTGTGGCTGTCCCCGGCAGCTGGCGGAGGAGGCTGGGGGCGCCAGAGGGGTGCGGGATGCTGGGCTGAGGCTGTGGCCTGCAGCGGGCATTTCGTTTGCCACACAACACAACAAGGGAAAGTTAGGTAGTGCTGCCTGAAAATTAAACTGGCTCAGAAAAATGACGCACAGGAAACTTGCTTCAACCACGTAGCCCAGGAATAGAGCCCTTCTTCAGCGTGGCTGTGCTTGAAACGCGGTATTTATGCAACATCGCCAGCTTGGAAAATGCGAACAGGAAAGAATCCTGATTAAGGTTAATGGGAAAATGATGACCTGTTTGCTGCTGCCATCATGAGCACGTCAGAGGGTTCTCATCTCGCAGGAAGAGCGGTTTTGTGGATGTAGTTGAAAAACCTGAGCTCACTGTGAAAACCAAGCGATTGCTGACGCGGGCAGAAGCAGTCACAGGGCTGCTCCGGTGACTCATCGGGTCGCAGACGAGTCTCGCAGCTCCGCGTGCAGTCTCTGATCCTCTGATAGCCAGCACACACCGTTCCTTAGCTGCTGCACGGATGGTCACTGTGCGTGGGTGGCAGTTTCTGGCCCCGGACTTTGGGCTTTGGGTCGGCAATTTGGGATATCCCGGTATGTTTCAGTAGAAGGATGGATTTAATAAAATCAGCGAGATGATCGGTTTGGTCACATGACAGATTCCGCTTGAGGATTTTCACCCCCCGCCTCCCCTAGCGTGGTAGAAACGCTTGGAAATGAGTTTTAAAATGTGGTGCTGGGGCCCCATCCTGGATATATGGGTTTTAGCACCTGTGGGAGAGAGAACCAGGCACCTGTATTTTTACATAAGCGTAACACATATTTCCTCTTTTTTTTTTTTTTTAGCTTGATGTATTTACTTAAAAGATAAGAGTTGCAGAGAGAGAGAGAGAGAGAGAGAGAGAGAGAGATCTTCCATCTGCTGGCTCACTCCCCAAATGGCTGCTACTGCTAGGGCTGGGCCAAGCTGAAGCCAGGAACTCATCCTGGTCTCCCACATGGATGCAGGGGCCCATCCACTTGGGCCATCCTCTGGTGTTTTCCCAGGTGCATTAGCAGGGAGCTGGATCAGAACTGGAGCAACCAGGACATGAACCGGCACCCGTATGGGATGCCTGTGGTGGCTTTACCTGCTACGCAATGGTGCCAGCCCCAGGTTCTAGCCATTTCTAATTGCCCCCAGGATTGAGAGCTATGACACAGACGACCCCTAAGATTTCTGTAATTCTGGAAGTTTGGTGTGCAGCCAGCCACCCTCAGTGTCTCCGCCTTGGTGAGCCTAAGAGAGACTGGTGCTGGCATTTCTAGCAAGTTCCTCCATTGTGCTGAGCCGCTGTTGGGGGAAGGCTTTGCGAATCACCTGGCCAGGGTACGCATTGCAAGAACACTACGTGTCTTAGCGTGTAACACATACCCGTCTTATCGCTCAGTGACTGGCGTGAGCTCAGCGCTGTCACATCCCAGCGACACAGACTGCCCGCGGGCATTGCTGCATTTCTGGAATTGGCTGGTGGCGACACAGCCGAGCTGGCCACAAGGAGCACCCAGAGGTGCCTGCCCTGAGCCTCACTGATGTGTCTTTGATTTCAGCTCCGTGGAAACACACCCAGAGTGACGGTGCCCTTCCATCCCTGCTCAGAGCTGTGTGTGCCGCGCCGAGGCTGCCGCCGTCGCTGGATGCCATCAGCACACCATGGGTACTGCTGGTCCCTGACTCCGATGTCTCACCTGGGCAGGGCCTTGGGACTCCCTCTCCCCAGTGCTGCTCAGCAGGTGGTAGTCCCGGGAGGAGGGGTTTTCCACAGAGTCTGTGGCTGTTTCCTGTGACACCCCTTGGCCTGTCCACATGCTGAGCAAACAGTAGCAGAGACATCCAGTCTCCGTGCCACGGTTCCTGCCCTGGCTCCCCGTCCATCCCTGGCCTCCAGCACGGGCTTGGAGGCTGGGAGAAATATCAAGAAAGAGGACGCAGCCTCATTCGAGCGGATGCCCTGTCCTCCCATGTCCCTCCAGCTGAGAAGCTAGAAGGGTCGTCCTGCCCGGTCCCTGACTTTGGCAAGGGCCACGTGACCTGCTCTGGCCAGGGAGTCACACACCCTGCCCTGCCGACATTACAGAACCGCCTCCAACATGCAGCCTCCCTCCCAACACACAGGTCCTGCTCTCTGTGCTTGGCCATGGAGCGGGACTGGGCAGGTGTGGTGGGGTCAGAGACGCACCCTGCTCCGCATCTCTTGGCAGACCCGAGGGGTGTCGGGCCTGACTCGGGCCCAGTGCTGACTGGGCCAGTCTGTGGACACTTAGGGCAAGCTCTCATTCCCTGCTTTGGCTATGGGTTGTGGCTCTTTGGGACCAGGACTTCCTCATGTACCGCTCCAAAAAGACACATGGCAGGGTATTTAGTGCTCACCAAGAACGTGCCATCCAAGCCCAGTTTCTCAGTTTTCATGTTAATCATTCTTCAAGAAAGTGACATAAGCCGACAGATACCAAGGAGACCTGAGGAAGCCGGGTATGCGGACCCCAGCCCGGCCACGCCCCTGCCAGCCCACCGCGCGCTCTGGTGAGACTGAGGCAGACCTGTTCCTGCGGGTGCGTGCTTACCTGGAACCTCAGGCCAGCGGTGCCTCTCTCTGAGGCTCACCTCCACCTCTGCTCTTGGGAGAAAAGCTGACTTGGAAGGAAGAGGTGTTCCTACTCAGTGCCCCCAGGGGAACGCTGGGTTCATCTTCCCGGACTGGCCTAATCGGGGCCAGTGCTTCCCAAGGGTCTCACCCGCACTGGGCACTAAATAAAGGGCTCGATGTAGGGCCGGCATTGTGGCGAAGCCAGTGACGCCGCCCCCTGCGACACCTGCATAGCACATGGCGCTGGTTCATGTTCCCTCCACTCTCCTGCTTCTCAGCTCCCTGGGAAAAGCAGTAAAGATGGCCCGTGTGCTTGGGGTCCCTGTCACCCACAGGAGAGACCCGGAAGTAGCTCCTGGCTCCTGACTTTGCCTGGCCTGGCCCTGGTCATTATGGCCATTTGGGGAGTAAACCAAACAAGGAAGATTCTCCCTCTCTCCCTCCCCGCCCCCCCCCCCCGTAACTCTACTTTTCAAATAAACAAATATCCTTCTCTTTTAAAAATAAAAAGTGGGGTGTTGCGTCCCCATGATGTATTCAGCTCTCACAGCTGAGACAGGAGTTGCATCGATCCCATTTTACAGAGGAGAAAATCGAGTCTCAGCAAGGCGAGTTTGCTGCCCGACGTAAACAGGAGTGGCAAGCTCACGAGGACCAGCGTGCGCGTCCAACACTGGCAGATGTGGGAGGGGAGTGCCAACTGGGTGTCCTGCTCCTCAAGTCTGCTACCAGCACCGCGTCTCCCAGCCTCCTCTAAGAGGGAGATGATGGTGGGCGGAGACGTGCCTGGGGAGGGAGGAGGACGCTTACCCAATTGTTCTATGTAGCATGGTCAATACACAATAAGCAATGGGGATTTGCTAAATTGACCTGCCACGCTGAGAGACAGATTTTGTCCCTTTAAAGCAGATGTTTTGCAGAGTATCTTCTTCTATTTCTGAATCTAAAGCACACCTAGACAACTAATATTCAAGCCACAGATGTTTTTTCCTCATACAAGTGTGTTGAGTTTTACAGGGTTCCCCATAAATTCACAAACAAATGGAGAATTTTTTTTTAAAGGATTTATTTATTTATTTGAAAGGCAGAATTACAGAGAGGCAGAGGCAGAGGCAGAGGCAGAGGCAGAGGCAGAGGCAGAGAGAGAGAGAGAGAGAGATTCATCCACTGGTTCACTCCCAAATGGTCTCAACAGCCGGAGCTGCACCGATCAGAAGCCAGGAGCCAGGAGCTTCTTCTGGGTCTCCCATGCAGGTGCAGGGGCCCAAGGACTTGAGCCATCTTTTACTGCTTTCCCAGGCCATAGCAGAGAGTTGGATCAGAAGTGGAGCAACCGGGACTAGAACCGGCGCCCATATGGGATGCCGGCATTGCAGGCAGTGGCTTTACCCTCTACTTCACAGCGTCGGCCCCTGGAAAATTCTGAAGTATAAAATCTGACCTCAGAAGAGGTTATATAAGTGCAAAAAGGGACATGGGAATTGGATGCCCCTGCAGAGACTGGAGTCACGTTAGAGTCCCCGAAGTTGTTTTCAAGAATAACGGCCCACACGACTCTTCCTGCTGGTGAGCTTCGGCCACAGATTATTTTCTCTGAAGTCCTTCTGTCTAATTCGCTCTCAAGATCGGTAATGGCACTTCTAAATGGTAGTCAGAATGGAAATGATGACCCAGTCAGAGGTGCCACAGTGGCGGCCAGACCGAGCAGCCCGGACAAGGCACGGCGATTCATTTGCGGGGCGTGTCTGTCTTCATTTGCCCCCTGATAGTCTCGAAAGACAACACTGCATGGGACAGAAATTCTACAGGGCTGGAGAAAGGCGCTCGCCAGCCCGGGGCCGGCCCTGCAGTGCACGGAGGACACTCCCAGGAGGTGGTGCACCCCCTGTTGGAGCACCACCTGCCAGTGATGGGCTACCCCTCCGTGGCGCGTGGGAGACACAGAATTAACACTTGTAAAAGTTGTGAGGCTGCTTTGTTAGGCTGAAGAGAATGTGCTCACCAAAAAACTGACTTCTTCAAAGGACAAGTGAAAGCAGACAAACTGTTAGTTATGCTTCAGGAAGAAGCAAATAAGACGGGAGGAGGGGTTTGGAGACAGGAGAAGCAGTCATGCCCTTAGCAGAGAACAAACCTCCTCTGGTTTCTCTGGGTGTCCCTGAGAGCTGCACTGGATCCGGCGGGGTGGGGATTCAAGCTTCTGTCCACTTTGGAAGCCAAGGAAACAGCCGTGGGTGTCTGGCGTGCCACCCAGTGACAACTGGCAGAGAGAAAAATTGTCTCTTCGCTGGTCCCCGGCTGAGGATGGGCCACGTTGTTCTCCTAGGCCTGTTCCCCTGGGAAATCCTGTGTAGTGATGCAGAAATGCGAGCCAGGCAGCGGCAGGAGCGTCCTCTCCCGACTCAGCCAGAGGCGGGTTTGCCGAGCGTGGTCCGCGGGCTCTTCCTGCCGTGCGCTGCGTCTGTCTGATGGCTCCTTTCACCCGTGCCCTGACACGTGCCTTGACACAGAAACCGGGCGTGCCTTCCCAGGGTCAGGGAGAGCACCACCGTTTACCGGCTCATGGCTTTGGTCACTGTAGCCGCCTGGAGAACGCAGAGCCGCCTTCCACCCAGCTCGGTCACGTCCAGAGATAAACGTTGCTGGTTGAACAGGAGCTGAGTTTTCTACCTTCCACTGATGGAACAGGCAATACAGACGGCCCTCACTTTTCAACATCCACGCCCCAGTAAGTTAAATGGGGGCTAATTGCATTGCAAGTTGTTTCTCTATTCCAGTTCAACCAAAGAATAAAACTGGCATTGATTGAGAGCACCCTCTCCCTCTTGCATCTCACTGCAGAACACAGACACCAAAGCTGGGGAGAGTGTTGGGGGACACTGTAGCTGATTCTGATGTCCCCTCCTCCCACTCTAGGTAACAGCTGATTCCCTCAGAGTAGTGGTCCAAGTGGACAGCTCCCCGGGACACGATGCAGCCGGATGAATTGTCCAGCACCCCATCCCCCACCCCCACCCCCACGCCTCCTGCTCCTCTCAGTAATGCATGGAGCACTGCTGAGCAGAATGCACTGAAATGGGTTAAATCTGCGTGAGAGCGAAGGCATTTTGGCCGGAAGAGGAGCTCTGAGCAGACGACCATGTCCTGATGGGGAGTACATTGGTGCTTTCTGCCCACACAGAATTCCACTTTTCCTCCAAAATAGGCTTCTATTAAATGAGCGAGAGTTTTGGTTTTTAGTCATAATTATTAACTCTTACTAGAATAGCTAGATTTTTAAATTTTTTTAAAGATTTATTTTATTATTTTATTTGAAAGGCAGAGTTACACATAGAGAGGAGAGACAGAGAAAGGTCTGTCTGTTGGTTCACTCCCCAAATGGCTGCAACAGCTGGAGCTGCACTGATCCAAAGCCAGGAGCCAGGAGCTTCTTCCAGGTCTCCCATGTGGGTGCAGGGGCCCAAGGACTTGGGCCATCTTCTACTGCTTTCCCAGGCTGGATTGGAAGTGGAGCAGCCAGGACTCGAACCGGCGCCCATGTGCAATGCCAGCATGGCCATGCATGGCGTGCACACGATGTGGGCCCCGTAATTCCCAGTTTCCGAGCAGGGGGAGGGTCTTACTCCAGTGTTACAGGCCAGTGCGCTGTAGAGCGGTGGATACTCTGGGCAGGCCTCTGGGGCCCTTGTCCCCCTGACATTTGTGTGCCTGTAAGGGGCCACTCCTGACGGTCTCTAGAAAGATTCCAGAAGGAGCACTGGGCCCTGCAACACGAGCACAACCACTTCTGCTGGTTAGTGTGGGACAGCAGGGGCCGGGGTCACAAAACCCCCAGATGAGCTGCCATCAGGGGCGCCTTCCTGGAGGAGGAGGCACCTGGCCTTGCCCTTGGCCTCTCAGGGTGTGTGTTCCTGCCTGCCTTGAGCAGTGAGATGTGTGAAGCCCAAGCCCAGCAGACCCTGAGCCCTCCACTCACCGCCGTCGTCATGAATCAAATGTTCTTGAAAACGGGGGGCACATCTTTGGTGCAGAGGTGGAAGAACTTTGTGCACCCGATCCTGGATCTGAGCGGGGCTTTCCTCCGCGAGTCCGATCGCTCTGGTCTCAGCAGGCTGCTGTTTGCATCATCGGAGATGCGTGGGCAGCTCTGGGGAGTGGTTAACCAAGCCCTGCAACGGAGCTCCTTCCAAAGTCAAAGAGTATCTTCACGAAGTCTTGGGAAACTTGCCTGTTTGGCTGTTCCTGCCATGAGAGCACCTGCTGAGCCGAACCCGGAACAGTCCAGGTACAGGTTAGCTCGGCGGAGGAGGGAGGGGGCTCTGAGCTGCTTGGGTCTCAGTGACACTGTGTCAGCCCCATCCCTATGCACCTGCTGCTGGCTACACCCTCACATGTTCTCTCCACTAGGCCAGGCAGGACGCTAAAGCCCTTGTCGCTTTCTTCTGCTGAGGACAAGGAGAACGCTCTCAGCGCTGCCAGAAGCAGCCGTGTCGAGCATTTTCATGGATCGGATCATCCGAGTGTTTGCCCAATGCCTACTAGGGTCGGTGCACTGGAAAAGTGACCCGCGACAGCGGCCACATCCTCGTCACACAGGCTGGATGAAAACAGCCCGGCTGTGTCTTCAAAACTGGGACACTTCAGCAGTCCATGCAAGGGGCCAGTGTTGTGGGAGGGGGGGAAAGCCGCCATCCCATATGGGCATCAGTTTGAGTCCCGGCTGCTCCACTTCCGATCCAATCTGCCTGGGAAAGCAGCGGAAAATGGCCCAAGTGCTTGGGCTCCTGCACCCACGTGGGAGACCCAAGAGAAGCTCTGGCTCCTGGCTTCAACCTGACCCAGCCGCAGCCATCACAGCCGTGGGGGAATGAACCTTCAGATGAGAGATGTCTCTCTCTCCCTCTCACTCTGTAACTCTTTCAAATAAATAAATGAAATCTTTAGAAAAGTAAAGTAAAAATTCCATGAAACATGGCACTGGAAGACGAATTCGTGATAGAACATTCTGAAATCCACACACAGGGAGGTCTCCAGCAAGTGCGTGGGAAATGCATGTGGTGCAAAAACTGGATTTCAACCTTGCTGGCCTAGGATAAACCTAATGTTGTAAATCCACCTTTTCACAAAGGTTTCACACCTGACCCAACAACCGGGCTGCATGAGTGTGTGAGTGTGTGTGAGTGTGTGGGTGAGTGTGTGAGCGAATGTGTGAGTGTAGGTGTGGGTGAGTGTGTGAGAGTGTGTGTGAGTGTGGGTGTGGGTGTTGAGTGAGTGTGTGAGAGTATGTGTGTGTGTGAGAGTGTGTGAGTGTGCGTGTGGGTGAGTGTGTGAGAGTATGTGTGAATGTGTGTGTGTGAGAGAATGAGTGAGTGTGTGTGTGGGGTGAGTATGTGAGAGTATGTGTGAGTGTGTGTGTGGGTGTGTGAGAGAATGTGTGAGTGTGCATGTGGGTGAGTGTGTGGCTGAGTGTGTGAGAGGATGAGTGAATGTGTGTGGGTGTGTGAGAGAATATGTGAGTGTGGGTGTGGGTGAGTGTGTGAGAGTGTGTGTGAGTGTGGGTGTTGAGTGAGTGTGAGAGTATGAGTGAATGTGTGTGAGTGTGTGAGAGTATGTGTGAGTGTGCGTGTGGGCATGTGAGTGTGTGAGAATATGAGTGAGTGTGTGGGGGGTGAGTGTGTGAGAGTATGTGTGAGTGTGTGTGTGGGTGTGTGAGAGTATGTGTGAGTGTTCGTGTGGGTGAGTGTGTGAGAGTATGAGTGAGTGTGCGTATGGGTGAGAGTGTGAGAGTGTGTGTGAGTGTGCATGCGGGTGAGTGTACATGAGCGTTTAGGTGTGTGCCACGGAGATCTTGGCCCTTACCCCAGAGAGCACAGGGTGAGGACCTCAGCGTGCGGGAGACCTGGGAGAAGTGGGCGGCGCGAGACGGGAGCCGGGTGCTGTCTCCAACCCGCAGCACACCCTGTGTCGGAGAGCTTCCGGAAGCTTCTTCATGACCATGGGCTGTGCGTGGGGCAAAGAGGGATGGTTCTAGAGAACCAATCTGAGCAGTGGCCGTGGCAGTGGGTGCCGGGTAAGTGAATCGTTTCAAGGTAATACTGGAGCAGTCAGTGCTTCCACGATGCTTCAGTCTGCAGGTGCAGGCACAGAAACGCTCTCCAAGGGTCTGGGGAACCAGCCGAGCCCCCGGATCCAGGCTGAAGGCTGAGCCCAGAGAGTCAGGAGCAGGGCTGGAGCAGGGTGCGACCCGGCCAGGGGAGGACTGG